TTTTTCCCTTCATTTGAATACTACTTAAACTTCAAATGCAAGTGGCGGAACGAACATGAGACGTTATTTTCAAGAATACCGTAAACATAAGGGTATCTATTATGAAACCCTCATAATTAAAGGGTATAAACCAAAAGTATGAATACCTGGTATTAAATTTAATCGGATGTAAAAATTTGTGGGCTTTATCAATAGAAAATTAAAAGATGTATTTTGCACAGAAGTTAAGTGAAAAAGATGTCTTTTATTCCAAAAACGCCGGTCCCATAGAGGTTGCGGCATAATTTCAAAAAAGAAAAAAAATAAAATATATTAATTTGCTTTATCAGCAGAGTTCGGAGGATGAGAAGTCTTCGCTGCATCTTTCATAGATGAAGATAGATCAGCATCGGGTTCAACACCTTCACCCTTATCTTCATCGTCATCTTCATTTTCGGCCTCGATCTCCGAGGAATCAGAGCAAATGCTCGAGGATCGTGAAGCAGTAGGTCACGCAGGAATGTTCACGAAGGCAGTTGTCTCCAAGTCAAGGGCTTCAGCAATGTACTCATCTATGTTTGAAATGCCTTCTTTGGCATCTTCTCATTTTTTTTTCTTCTTACGTGATAAACTGCATGAGTTTTTTCAAGTAAGAAAGAATCCTCTTGATCTCGGAGTTTTGCTTGGAGCCTTTGGATTTTTGACTGCAATCGCTCGTTATCAACCTTCAAAATGTCATAGATCTGGGAAAGGTCAATATTGGTCTTCACATGTTTGTGATTTTTCTCCGTGACCCTTTTGAGCCTTTCCTTCATTCTTGTCCTCTTCTCCTCGACCGCAGAAGCTTCCTCGGTTTTGGAATGTAAGTTTACTTTAGATTGTTGATTTTTTTCCATGGAAGGAGACTCACATTCATTTTCCAAAGTCGCAACATCCTGTAACTCAGCCCACTTGACCTTCAACTCAGCAAGCTCAGCATGCAACTAAGTAGCCTCTTAGATATAGGCTATTTTTTCTTGCTCAGTTTGCTCCAACCGGGCTTTGTGTTCGCCCATATGAGCAAGACTTGCCTCTAAAGCTGGGAGGCGCTCAGCGGGTTGATCATGTTCAACAATAATTTGGTCCTGCTCAGCATAAAGTGCATCTTTATCCAGGATCAACTTCTTTAAGCCCTCGAAGGAAAGGAGGTTAGCTTGTGAAGTCAAAGATTAGAGTTGCCAAAGATGATGGTTAGCAAGTGTATAGGAAAAAGAGAAGAATGAGATGATACATGAGTAGCAAGATGCATGTTGTTTTTGATTAAACATTCTGCAGAGAGACCATCCATTTTTCTCCAGTCCTTATCCAAAGCCAAATGCTTCACAAAGTTGGCTACTCCCACCGGTTTAAAAGGCAAATGGCATTCATCCGACATCAAAAAGGTAACATTGCATTGTTAGGGTTCCGGACGGATGCCAAGAAGGCATTTTCTATGTTCCCTTGATCGTATGATCGGAGGAACTCATATCTTCCTCTTGTTTAGTTAGGATTGGCGGTGAGGAAGGATCTGGTGATGAAATAGATGTTGGAGGAGCATCAGAAGCAGAACCCTTCTGAACGAAGGCAACAACTAGAGACCGGAAGCGGGATTCAGCATTTTTAACCAAGTCAAGCTCTGTAAAGAGTTCTTCTACATCCTCCGGTTGACCTGATGGAGCTCTTCTTTTTCTTCTTCTCTGAAGAGAAACAACTTCATCATCATCCTCGGTTTCATCTTCATCAAGGACCACATTGGACGGTCCTTCTGGGATCTCTTCTGTGACCTGAGGCTTCTCCTTTGCCTAAGCCTTAGAGATATGCTTTCTTTTTTTATTTTTTCCCCTTAGTCTGGGGACTTAGGGAAGATGTGCCTTCAACGGAAGCAAGAGCGGTATCACGATCCCTCTTCAGGTCAAGACCTTCTTGAATCTGTTGTTGGGCCATCTTCGGGTCATGTGAAACTACAATAGTGGGACAGACAGAAGATCCTTTCGGAAGGCCTACATGTTGTTGAAAGAAGTCAAAAATTATTTATTACATAAAGTTAAAAGTTAAGAAAGGAAAGGGAAAGTTTTTTCTCACCATGGTTCAAGGCCTTCCAGATAAACTTAATTGAAATTTTCTTCCACATACGGGAGTCCGGTGTGGAAGTATCTAGAATTTTCTGAACCCGTTGGGTTAGGTTCTCAACTGCTGGAGGAACCCAAATGGTGGCTAAAATGAGAGAAAAGAAAGTTTAATTAAGAGGGAAAATTTCTTTAACACAATAAAGAAGGATATTAAGAAAGCTTACAAGTGTAGTTCTAAGATTCGGGGATAGGAGATGCTGACACCGGTAAAATGTCCTCGGAGAGACAACAATAAACCTCTCCATTCAATCACGGTCATTATCGTCATCAATACTGGTGACGGTGGTATGGTGACCGCGTTTATTGTGTTTGATCATGCCTCCACGGAAAATCTTAGGCGCATAGAGGTTGATCATATGAGCAAGAGTAAGGTTTTCCTGAGCCCGAAAACATAGGAACTGAAGACAAGCCACTGTGTGCCATATTGCTTATCCTACTTGAACCAAACAAACTCGGTAGTTGCAGCAAGACTCCAAGATGATTGGGTATATTTTATTGCCAAGTCTTACTGTGAAAGGTTATGTGTAAACGTAAATGTACCCTGGTTTGCTGAACGTAATTCTCTCCACTTCACTGGGGAGCTAAAACCCGAATATTCTTCCAGCCACAATCTTTTTTTACGACAGGAATACTGGTCAGACGAATAAAAGATGGATATTCACCAACAGCTTTGTTTCTGTCGTTGTCGGGGTCAGAAGATTCCTTTTGAATATGGAGATTCATTTCGCAAGACAACTGAGAAGGGATGATCGTGTTAGTAGAGGGAGAACCGACTTTGGGTTTCTTAGACTTTTTCTTCTTGGATGGACCGCCACCGATGCAAGTCCTTGTGTAACCGAAGGAAGAAAAAGCAGAAAATATAATGATGGAAAGTATGAATTTGTAAAGTTTTTACTGAGAAAAGGAGAGTTGCATTAAAGCTTTAGGAAGACTCGGAGAAGAAAATTATGAAAGTGAAAGATGAAAGTGGTGAAAATGGAAGAAGTTTATAGGCGACAGAATGCAAGGACATCATTACCTAGGTAATTAGAGAAAATACTTGTCGAATCACGGGACAACACGTGCTCGTCTTATTAAATGCAAAGAGACGTGCGTCTTTTCAAGTGTCATAAACCATTCAAGAACTTTTCCGCCAAGAAAAGAGGACTAATCTATTTCTCGGTCACATCAAGTTGAGTCATTGGAAAGTAGATGGACTATCTGTATGGGGTAAAATTAAGGAATGACAGATGGACGTTCGTCGAGTTGACACATGACAGTAAAGACATGTAGAATATGAGTCTGCAAATAGCTGACACCAGACAATTTGTATGAGTTCCGAAGACATTGAAACTGGAGGGGAGAATTTGAAAGTAAGATACCGGTTAAAGAAGGCAACATTAAAGGAGCAGTTGTTGTAAAGAATCCTAGCATTTACACTCAATTGCTATCAAGAGGGGTCTTTATTCACTTTAAAAATGAGCTTGATTTGGGGATCTTGTCTCCCGTATTTAACTATAAATAGAGAAATTTGTACTCGTTGAAGGACTTGAAATACTTGTATGAAAATGGCTATTATTACTCTCTTATTCTGCTAAACATGTTCTGCTACAATTTAGTTTTTGATATTGTTCTTGTTTCCGGAGAAGTTCAATTCAAGGCCCAGATTCGTCTTTTCTTTAATTATTCTTATTTTATTCAATTTTCTCTTCATTATTTTATTTTCTCATATCAATTTAATTTACGTGTTTATAAACCACGTTACAAATTCAATTGTATGATTTTACGGGTAAACACATATCATGTTAACTGTAGTATGTAATCAAATTTATAAAATATTTGTCTATGGTTTGATCTGATTTAAGGAATTTTTATTACCCGAAGAATAAAAGTATTTTTAAAGAATATTCTTAGTCTCATCCAAGAAAGAAATAGCTGGTTCTTGCAATGGGATTTCTCATTTGAAACCTTGTTTAATTCTAAGGGAAGAAGTCTATTGAACTCTGTGCATGGCGACAAGCTAAGTGCATGTAAGGTCAATGATTTTGGGAGTATCTATTGGCCAAGTATTACTTCACCTCTTCTTAGTTCAAGTTATTCTTTGTCCAGCTTCTTCTAAGTCTGCTCCCTGAAAGAAGGCGTTCTGTTCCACTATGCTTCTTTATGTCTTCGGTTCATTGTCGTTCTAACTTTGTATTAACATTTCTAAGTTTTTTAATTCTTTGAATTGGAATGACCCCAATAGCTGCAACAATAACAACAACCTAGTAGAATCTCACTTGAGCTAGTGAGGTATGGGGAGGGTAGAGTGTACGCAGACCTTACCCCTACCCCAGAGGGATAGAGAGGCTGTTTCGGGAGACCCTCGGTTCAGAGGGTGAAAAACTAGGCTCAAATTTTCGAAGCGGGAATTCTTTATCTTAGCATTTTGTAGAGAGGTTATTTCCGGGAGACTCTCGCTCAGAGGGTGAAAAACTAGGTTCAAATTTTCGAAGCAGGCAACAACAACAACAATCACCCAGTAGAATCCCATTAGTGAGGTCTGGGGAGGGTAGAGTGTACGCAGACCTTACCCCTACCCTGAAGAGGTAGAGAGGTAGTTTCCGGGAGACCTTCGGCTCAGAGGGTGAAAAACTAGGCTCAAATTTTCGAAGTGGGAATTCTTTATCTTAATGTTTGGTCTATGTAGCATTTTGTATTTTGTTCATGCTTTTGACATTATATTAGACAGCATGTCGGATTATATATTAAAACATTTCTTTAGAGTAGAATTTTAGGTCCATCAAAGTCTGGCTATCCAACTTAGAATGGATTCAAGACTTATTTTAGCAAGGAATTGGGCAAACTAATTATGTTGAGTCAAACTCTCAATTCACATACAGATTGCAAATAGAGTTGAATGAACCAAAAAGAACTCATAATATATGATGACAAGTACCACAATTGTACTAATAACTTCTGAGAATGGCTTGGACAAAATAGAAGAAAACTGGCACTAAAAACATTAAAAAGTTGAGGTGCAAACTGGCACTTCGTCTAAGATACAACAACTATATTAAGTTATTTTCACTTGTCTGCGGGAAGAGCGCCCTCACTGTCGCTATAGCAATTGGCAGAAGTCCTAAAATAGAAATCTGTTGCTGATCTGAGGTGCTTGTCCTAACTGTTATTTGCCCGCTTTTTTTGCTGTTTAATCCAGCCCTAACAGCCATCTTGGAATTCCTTCCTATGGAGAACTGAGATTGCAAGTTGCATCCCCATATGATGTCATTTCTCCATTTCATCAAAGAAAGGCCAAGTGAACTTTGGTCCTGGCCGACGGGGTAATCTTTCTCTCTCAGACGCAACTCTAAGTTAGCTCCATACGCTGAATTACCCTGAGACCTGATGGTGCCCGTACTTCCCACCACAACTAACTGCTTACCAATGGCGAACTGGTCCTCCAACTTCAACCCGGTCACCAAATTATCGTCCAATAAAGTAACGGATACCCCCGCAGCTGTTTTATTTGTTTTCAGATTTTTCACTTTTGTTTCTCCCTTCAAAATGTAGGCAAGTTGCTTTCCTACAGTTTGAATATCGAACCCCACCATAGTTGATCCTTTCTCCCAAGTCTTTGCTGAAACAGATGAATCCAAGTGGATGTTGAACTCTTTCTTGTCTTTTGTGAGCTGAAGAGCTATTACTGCAGGAAACTGACCTGCAATGGCGAGGTGATCCTCAATGCTCACGCCATCATATCCACAATCGTGGTCCCAGCCCTGGGAGTCCATAACAGGCCTAGCAAGAAGTTGAGACGAAGGTTCTAAAGACCGGTATCTATAAGCCGGATTGTCCCCATCAAAAGAATATGGGAGCGCCATGTCAGGTAATGGGATTGCTACTCCTGCCACGCTCCCTGTTTCCTGGTCAGCACCTTCTTCCATGTAATCACCTATCTCTGTTTTGCCTTTCTTCTTCCTGTCCCTAAGCCTTTTTAACTCCTCCCTCCATTGCTTCTTCTGAAGTAGCTTCACACGGTAATCATACTCGTCAAAATATGCTCTCTTTTGCTCCTTGCTTAGCTTTGCAATCTGAGATTTCCTCAAAGGTCTGAAAGGTGGAAGGTTATCATACTCTTCTTCAACTTCTTGGTCGGTATCAGATGTATATTCCAGCTCAATGTCTGAGTCCATATCGTCACCACCTTGATTGCTAGACATTTTAGGATGAACATTTGATTGTAACAGTGAAGATAAAAAGTAAGGTAAAGGAAGTGAACGCATGCGGAAGCCAAAAAGCTTTCTGTGGTCAGGAAAATCCTGATCTTTCATGATAGAATCTACCTCTGACAAAATCTTCATCGAGTAACACAAAAGCAGTAGCTGTGATCTCCAGTTTTCTCCATTTGGGAGCAATATTTCTCCTTTTTCATTCTTTGGACTGAGTGGGTGGTTTTCAACAAGTGAAAATGGACGGCTCGTCAACCCAGCATCCATCGTGTGTGAATCACCAATGGAGTGATTAATTAACTGTTTAATGATACGTGAGCGCTGAGCAACAAATAATTCATAGCTTACAGGATACCCCGCGGGTCCATCTGGAGGACTTGAAGCAGCATGTGTAAGGGTAACTATGGCATTACGCCATATTGATGGACCAAGATAATTACTGACGGACTTCAATAATGGTACATCACCAAGATCTCTAGATTGTGTGTCAATGCGGTCAACATAAAGGACTACATCAGGACTGCGTTTCTTCATATATTTCTTTATGGACAGCAAAGTTCTACGGTTAATGGATTGTTCCGGCAGGGAAGAACTGAGACCAGGAGTATCTAAGATGTTCAATGTAACTCCATTCAGTTGTCCAATTATCTCCTTCACATTTGTAGTTGCAGGCACAAATGCATCTACTATTGCTTTGGCTTCACCAAAGATAGAGTTTATTGTAGAACTCTTACCAACTCCAGTTTTACCAATAACAAGGATATTCAGAGAAAAGTTCAAACTGTCTGGATCCTCTGCTTCTAACTCCATTGCTACCTTCTCGGCCGAGGCAAGGCTATATGCTTGAGAGGCTGACTTCCCTGCCGCATGAACTAACTGGTATAAGACCTGTGCAGATACAGAATCTTCAGGAGACCGGTTTAGCTTGTGGATGAGCCGCAAATATTTCACTCTTAACTGTTGTAATTTCTCAAGTTTCTTTGTTTCTTCTTCACTCAAAATTTCTTCTGATATACCTTCAGTCTTATTCTCGGATAGGGTGAGACTATCTGCATTGGTTGGCTGAGCAGGTCGAGATGAGTGAAATGTGGATCCCGAGCTCCTAGGTAGCTCCAGAGAAAAAACCCGTGTACCATCAGCAGATGGAATTGTAACATTTCTACCTTCAGGTCCAACACCGGCAGCAGCCATCAGCAGCGCTGCCAGTGCTTCTGCATCAAACATCTCTTTCCCTTCACTTTCTCTGCCTGTGTCTACCTCCTCATCTGAGTCTGTCACAATCTCACCATCAACCTTTGGTAAATGACCCCGAGACACCTCTCCATCATAGTCGGCCGTGGCTATTCGTTGGTCCAACTGATCAATGATAAGTTTCATATCATCTGATCGTTCAAAGGTCAAACATTCATCATTTTCACGTAAGAGTGAGACTTCTTCATTTTTGAACAATTTGACAGGATCAAAGTCTTTGCAGCTGGTTTCTAAGTAGTCTGGATTTAAACAATCCTCTGTGTGTTGTGCTTTATCTGATAACTTTGTCACGTCATCTTCCACTGTGGAGGACCAAGTTACATCTGATGAAGAGCTAGGACTAGAATATACCTGTTCTTCAGGTGCCGGTGGTACAGAAGTTTCAGTGCATTCCAAGCTCTCTACTTCACTATTCTCAGTGGGTTTATGATAAGATTCAGCTTCAGTTTCAGTTTTAGTGGCAATATCCTGACGATCACTTCCTTGATAAATCTCTTCCTCCTTACTCGCTAAATTCTGACTGTTCCCCGAAGCTCCAGTAAGCAAGACAACGCTGTTTCCACAGTTCAATTCATCAGCTTCAAAGTTTGATACTCTATTTTCTTCCCTTGGGCTGTTGTAAGTAGTATCAAAAGGCTTAACATCACGAAACAAATCTGCACTTTTTGGCTCTGCATTACTATCAAGAATTTGACTTGCTTCTGTCAAAAGCTTTTCGTCATTGTCTAACTCTTGTTCCAACAAAATAGATACTTTACTTGCAACCTGATACACAACTTCTCCTCCTTCAAAAGTACCATCGGCATCACCTCCCTCCGTTATAAGATTCTGAACAGTGTCACTTTCAGCTTTATCCTCTGCTTTAGTCAAGATCAAGTCCTCTGCCATTCCAGATTTTATCACATTTGCAAGCTCTAATTCACCCTCCTCGCCATCCGAAACATCTGAGATTCTAACTTTAGGGGCACAATCTAACCTCTCCAACACCAAAGCATTTGGAATTCTAATGGCACCAAGAACATCATTCTCTTCCGGCAAACCGGTGCTCAAGTACTCATCTTCACTGTCCCAAGACAACTGTGCACGAATGCCTCGAGTTGGAATCAAAGGAATCGCACTATCAACAACAGCAGTTCCAGCAAAGGAAACATCTTTATCAGACCCCTCCAATGATGTTCCTGTAGCTACCACCTCATTCTCCCCATCCACAACAAAAGGCCTATCACTATATTCATCAATACTATCAAGTCCTTCAACAATTTCCCTATCTTTTACAAAAGGTCTATCAATATATTCGCCATTACTATCTAGTCCCTCAATGGTTTCTGCATAAGGGTCAGTTAAAGAAGACCTAGAGTCATCATATTCACCCACACTGCTACCAGTTTCTTCATCTGGGGTTTTCACAAATGGTCTAGAAACAACAAATTGGTTAACAAAATGAGTTTTTTCAAGATTTTGCTCATCAGGGTCAGACAAAAATAGCCTCTCAGAAGCAGTCTCAAAATCATCCTCACCGCTAACAAAACCTTCAGACTCAAAACCAGTGTCACTACCATAATAACTGCTTGTGGAACTAGTATTCTTTTGTCCATTAGAGTATTCAAAGTCAGAATCATCAACAGTAAGAGGAGCTCTAATACCTGTAAAAAGAGGGACCTTTGCAGGAGGTGGGGTCCCTTGTATTGTGGAAAGTGGAACACCATAAATCTTTGAGTCCATTGTCACAAACAATATTTTCTTTTCTTTAGTCCCTACCTTTCTTTATATAAAAACATACACAAGAACACAAAAAAGTAGAAAAGGGGTATCAAGAAAATTTGAAAAAGATTGAATCTTGGGGCTTTGGAAAAGATGGTGATATATGGGGTTAGGTTAGGGTTTGTTTTTTGGGGTATTTCAAGATTGGTGTTTTGTGTTTGTTGTTGTTGGTGTTTTTGGGGCTCATAATTGGTTTTTTGGGGTATTTGGTAGGTATAGTGGTTAGAGGAGAAGCTTACACATGAACATAGATAAGGCTGGGGGTTGTAATTTTCTTGGAGGTCTTTTCGGCTCATTTGAAAGTTGAAACCTTCTTTTTGTGTTTTATTGCATGCGTATATTGTATAATAATCATACACGTGCGGGTCACGTGTCTCCGTTAATTTCCTTCCAAAACTTTCTAAAAACCGAACGTGGATTGTAACTTCTTTTCAATACTTCAATTGCTAAATTTTGTGCAAGTTCTTCTTATATTATTTGTCACTTCCTTTTTAATAGATTTTAAGTTGTCATTGTTGCTATTTGTTCGAAAGTGGTAACATTGTTTTTGTTGTTATTTTTATTAGTGATGAATGAATTAACCGATAACAAGTTGTGAAGTTGTATAATTTTGACTTCTCAATATATAGTTAATTGACAGAAAGGAAAAGAAAAAGAAAGAATCATTAATGATTTTGATTTTAGATGTTAATTCTTGAAAATTTTGTAAATTGATTAAAACCATCAATGAATATGGCATGGCAAATGTGTTGCACATGTAGGGTACTACTGTGAGAATTTCTCATTTTCTCTCCCTCGTATGAAGCTTTCCTGCCCTTTATATGCTAGCTGTTAAAGAAAAAAGTGTGAAAGAATAATCACCACTTAGATCTCATGTAAAAAAGATGAGATATTCCCACGGTAAGAATAATACACTAGCAGTAAGAAAGAAAGCTAGGAATTCCATAAAGGTAGAAGGACAAAGTTTCAAATTTACCTTAATCCAAAGAATGCACAAGAACAAACCACCCCAACCTAATTGATAATACAGTTCTTGGCAAAATGTCTATAGTTAAAACGATTTGCATTAAATTTACAGTAAAAAACTACCGATGTATTAAAGCTCAAATTCAAATTGGTTCCTAACCTGATCAGAGACCACTACATATTTGGAACGAAGACACAAAAAGCCTAAAAACGAAAAGAGCTCTTTTCGACGTTCGATGTAGTATTTGTTCCTTTATATGAACTTGCACAGAATTTCTAGTTTCCTGTGTTTGGTAAACAAAAAGCTTTCTTGTCAATGGAAATTCAGTGGGGATTCACCTCATAAAATGAGCAGCACAAAATGTGAAACCTAAAAATCATTACACGGGACACCATTTGTGGGGCAAGAACCTCATATTTGTTTTACAACTAATGCCAGAGAGAAATCAACGTCACAGAAAAACCATAAGCCAACACTTCAACCATCAATTTTCCTTTTCTTCTTTGATTTTTGTTCTTGAGATTGATCCAAGGACCCTGAAGTCAATGCACTATGATCCCTTCCTGAATCTTGAGCAGATTGGTCATTGGATTTTGCAGGGCCATCACGGTGTTTCCTCTTGGTAGACTTTGATGGTTCCCCTGCCTCAGACAGAGAACTTCTGTTTCTGCTATTGGAAGGAGTATAGCCACTCGCTGTTCGCATACTTCGGGTCCTGTTACTTTGAGTAGGAGTTGCAAAGCGACGAGATGAATTGGTCAATGTAGTAGCAGACGACCTCTGAGCCATCTGCTTCAAGTTTATGCTGTTCTGTTTAAGCTCACTTGGCTCTGGGTAACGGATAAGGGAAACACGCCGTGAAATTTTCCCAGCTGCCAAAACATGCAAAAGCATCAGAATTGGTGTGCCTAACCAATTCACAGTGAGGGGGGAAAAGATGCATCTGAAGGAACCTCATGTGCATATGAGACAAATAGTTTATTCCCCAAGTAAAAAGATCATACAATAGTTTCATATAAAAGATGTAGTCATGCACAGAAAAAGCGTTATACTTAACATCAGAGACGGTCTTGAAGAAGTGGGCACTAATTGACTAGATTATACTATTTGAATGCAGTCCACACTATGCAGTCTCTTTCCAAGAAGAATTTCCTTGACAAATAAAAACTGGAGTCACAGGTACAATCTAGGAGCAAATATCTTAGAATTGACCAGTTGAAGTTCTTTATACTGGTCCGCAAAACTAATTCAAAAACAAATTCACCATCAAAATCTGCTCAAAGCCTTTTCGCTGTTTATCTGGGAATTAGCAGCGGTTGGATCATGTAGAGGTTCACACTACGGAACCAACAATAAGTTTTACCAAAAATTAAACAAAAGCGGAGCACAAGTAGTTGGATCGTGTAAGACAGTACGAGTTCCACGCAATTAAGAGAGAGCAATAAAATTTGAAACAAAAAGAGCAAGTCATATTAACATAGTACAGCAAATTGAAATCATCAAAGATACTGAGTCACATTAGCTTCAGTACTCACATGACAACAATGCGCGGCATAACATAATGGTCCGCCCTACTCAGAAATTAATTCCACGCCGTAACAGAGAAAAATAAGATTATGAAGCATGAAGCCTCATCTGTCAATAGAATAGCTTTGGCTTGAACATCACAAAAGAACATACAGATAGAGATGCCATATCCAAAGGGACATTACACGTTTCGAGTGTTGTGAGATTATACGAGTGAATAAGCAGATATATGTATAGCAATATGCAAAGGAACTTTGTATTATGAAAGAAAATGCCGAGTAGGAGTTACCAATTTTTGTCTCTGACTCAGAAGATAGAAAGACCGTCGCATCTGGGTCCAGCGCTCTACAACTGACCACTTCATACGATTTACCTGTTACAATCATTGAGCAAAATGTTAGGAAAGAATCTTTCATTATCCTAAAAAGCCTATATGAACGCTAGACACTGAGGTGGGGAGATGACCACAATTAGATATAAATGTTATTCTTAAGACTATACTTTCCAGATGACTCCACAAAGCTGCCCATATGCCCATCATGATGGAGCTTCAACGAAACTTCCCTCCCATCAAAATCTGGATGCTGGAATAGCCAATTGGAAATGCAATAACACAGAACTGATATAAGTGATAGTGACTGAAAATATACTAACACGTCCTACATTAAGAGTGATTCTGTTCAAATTCAATTACTAAGCAAATCATAATTAGTCACCTCACAGACCATGGTAACTTCAGTGCATGAAAGTCAAAATTCATGTTCTACTATGTCCCATCACCAATCCTCTCAAGTAAGCTCACTCTTTGTTTGGAAACTAGGGAAGGATGGGAATCCCTTGTTGTTGCTAGTTCAGAGAAGAAACAGAGACAGAAAATCTCTCGATTCATTGGGTATTTTTCACTAAAGTGAGGGAAATTATTAATTTGAATAATCTTCTTTTTTCCTTTATCCTGATAAAGTAATTTTTTTATCTTTAGCCAACCAAATATTCACTTAGAGACTTCAGCAGCTGATTTTCCTCCCTGAAATCTCTTCTTTGCTCCCTAACCACACGAAGAAGAGAAAATGTCTCAATTTCTTAATCATTTTCCACTCTTTACCCCTTCCTTCCAAATTTCCAGACAAAACATCAATTTAAGGATTAGAAAATTATCTTCTAGATGATGAAAGAAATTCTTTGTTTTTTTTTCCTTTTCATATTAAAATAAGACCTCATAGATGAGCAAAGGCATCAAGGAGATGCATACATGGGTGAAGAAGAGAACTAAGATTGAAACAGAGACGAATAATGTACATTAGACTATGATAATGTGACTAAATGTATATAGATATTGAAAGTACCTTGATCTCCTATTATCCAATTATGAATTGAATGATTAAAAAAAAAAAACATGCACCTTATTACATCCTAGTGAATCTTACTTGATTTAAGGGCCATTGGATAAGCCAGAGCTCGGTTGAGTCTGCTAAGTTAAGATTAATTAGTGAATCCTTTTTGACCTCCTCAAATTCTGGGGGAGGTTTGTAGTTAAGTTCTTTCGGAGGATCCATAATAATGAAATATAATCAATAAGAACGTTTATTCTCGAAGATTGCAGACCAAGCACCTCCTTAACCACAGGCCTGCACAGAAAAGCAAAATCAGCAATTCAGCATAAGATAGCTCAGAATTGGAAAATAATTGGAGAAATAGATCTTTGAACATAGCAATAAAATAAACAATCCAATCGTAAACTTACTAAGACTATCAAAACTGCAGCGGGTTAAATTTGAAAAGAGTTGCACAGGCACAAGCCTATCGGATGCTCCAATCACTTGAACTTCGAAACACAAACTTCTACTAATTAATTTTAGAATATTGGACGAGGGCAATCCCCAGTGGTGGATGTAGCTACCAAGCTATGAACCCAGTAATTTTTATACAGAGTTCAGATATATATGTAAAAATCTTTAAAATTTCAATTAATATCACGTTTTGAACCCATAAATTTTAAAAGTGCAACGGGTTTACTGATAAGACCATAAGGACAACCCATCAAGTTAAAATCCTGAAATCCGCCTCTGGTAATCCAAGTCACCTACGCCCCAGGCTACTTTGTACTTTCTGTCTGATTAACTAAGTTCAGTTTCCTTGACTCACTGGGGTAATCCTTGTTAAAATCATTACATGGTTTGGATTGTTCAGCTTTTCTATTTACCTTAATATGATTCTTGTTCTAAATAACAGGATAGCGAAATAAATCATCATCCAAATAGAGGTACTGCCAATGATTTATTACCCTATTCACATACTGTTTCTTTCCCCCAAATGATGTACTCTCATTCACAAATAGAAATGATAAAACTAGCAAATAGGAGGAGTCCAGTAAAGCAGCCACTACAATTTAGAAGTAATGCTTTTCTATTATATGCAGAAGCAGACACTAAAATGTTTTTGGAGCAACATGCTTATGGTTTCCACTTTGTACACTATTACATATATTAGAGAGAGAGAGAGAGAGAGAGAGAGAGAGAGAGAGAGAGAGAGAGATTACCTGCGCCGGAGATTGGAGAGCAACCGGGTGGCGGAGCGAGGCAAGGGCGGCTCTAGGGTAAGGTAGGCGAAACCCTTGCCTTAGGCCCCAAATATTTAAGGACCAAAAATATATAATATATATTTGATAATTATATATAAATATTTTTTAAAATTTGATAGAGATAGGTTTGAATGAGTTACTCCATCCCATCCACTTTATTTTTTTTATTTTTTTTACACATATTAAAAAATTTATCTTTTAATATTAACTAATCTTAGGATATACTTGT